AGTCGGAAAAATGGGAGCTGCGTGCACAGGAGGAGGTGGCGGGCGAGCAGGAGGATGAGCGGGAGGGAAAAAGATGAGGACGAACAGCAGCAGCAGGAACGAAAGCGGAAGGCTCGGGAGGGAAAGGAGGACCAGGGGAAGGCGGAGGAGGAGAAATGAGGTTGGAGCGACAACGATGAAGAAAGATTCGAATTCTGAAAAAGTTGCCCGCGCTGTAGCGAGACGAACAGTAGCAGCAGGAACTGGAGTCTAAGGAGCAGGAGGAACGAAAGGACCAGGGGAAGGCGGAGGAGGGGAAAAAAGAGAAGCAAGCTGAGATCCAAAAAAGTGGCCCGCGCCGGGGCGAGAGCGCCATTCCGAACGAAGAGAGCAACGCGCCGATCCGAGAACGAGGCCGACGCTGCAGTGGGAGTGCAATTTTGCTAGAAACACCGAAAAACAGTAGGATTACCGAAAGCCAGAAGAAGGAGCGAAGTTTGAAATCCTATGTGTGAAAACCGCACGCGGGGGGGACGGGAGATCTTCTGGACAATTTCAGGGGAGGAGGGAGAGTAGTATTCACATTGCTTAGTTGTGGAGGGGGGAGGGGAGAGGGTCAAGGGTGGGAGGGGTGGGAGGGCGAGAGGGGGGAGGGGGGAGGGACAGGGGGGGGAGGGGCAAGCTGGGCGCGATAGCGCCTCATCTGACATCCGGTCCTTCCCTCCCAGCCCTCCCCATGGCGCTGATGTTTCTCTGTTTGCGGACGCGTGTGGAAGCCGGCCTGCGACTCCAACAGAAGGACCACCTCGTGGCAAGAGGGGAGCCGCGTGCAGAGGAGGAGGCGGCGGCGGGCGGGCAGGAGGACGAGTGGGAGGGAAAGAGATGGGGGCGCACAGCAGCAGCAGGAACGGAAGCGGAGGGCTCGGGAGGGAAAGGATGACCAGGGGAAGGCGGAGGAGGAGAAATGAGGTTGGAGCGACAACGATGAAGAAAGATTCGGATTCTGAAAAAATGCCCCGCGCTGTAGCGAGGCGAGGAGTAGCAGCGGGAACTGGAGTGGAAGGAGCGGGAGGAACAAAGGGACCGGGGGAAGGCGGAGGAGGGGAAACGAAGGGGGGGACCTCAAGGAACGAGATTCGGATCCAGAAGAGCGGCCCGCGCCGGGGCGGGAGCACCAGTCCGAACGAAGGGAGCAACGCGCCCATCCGAGAGTGAGGCACACGCTGCAGCGGGAGAACCGGTTTGAAGCACCGAGGGCGATCGGGTTGTAAAGCACCATAACAGGAAGTTTGGAATCCCGTGCGCAAGAAGAAACAGCACGCAAAGGGGGCGGAAGATCTTCCAGACAATCTTCGGGGGAGGAGGGAGGGTAGTATTCACACTGTTTAATGGTGGAGGGGGGGAGGGGAGAGGAAGGAGGATGGATGGAGTTGGTTTGTAAGTCATGGGTTCGCTATGGAAAGCGTGACGTTCCGACACGAAAAATCAATGGACGTCCTGGGGTCTCAGGGTTGGGTTTCTTGTGGAAGGTTTCTTGAGGTTGAGGACTGGCCTCCCCTGTATTGCTCCACCCGCGGTCCCAGAGCTGCCGGCCCTTTCCGCCGGGGCGGCTTCCCATCTTGGATCCACATGCGGCCGCAGGAGGCTGGAATTGTTCAGTCGGGCGTGTCCCTCTACAAGAGGAATATTTAGAAATAGCTCTTTTAAGCATTACCCCAGTGCGACCCTACCTAGAAGTTGGAGCCCCTAGGAAAGCAGCATTATTTGCTATGCTATGCTATGCCATGCGATGGTGCGCTATGCTATGGTATGCTATGCTATGCAATGCTATGATGCGCTATGCTATGCTATGCTATGCTATGCTATGCTATGCTGCGCTATGCTATGTCATGCTGCGCTGTGCTATGCTAGGCTATGCTATGCTATGCTAAGTTGCACTATGCTGCGCTATGCTATGCTGGGCTATGCTGCGCTGTGCTATGCTGTGCTGTGCTGCGCTATGATATGCTATGCTATGATATGCTGCGCTATGCTATGCAGGGCTATGCTATGATATGCTGTGCTGCGCTATGCTATGCTATGCTATGTTGTGCTCTGCTATGCTAAAGTTCAGCGAAGCTAAGATGAAGGTAAGCTAAGCTAAGATAAACCTGAGCGAAGATGAAGCTAAGCTAAGCTAAGATGAAATAAGCTAAGCTAAGATGAGATAAGCAACGCTAAGCTAAGGGGACGTAACTGGGGGAACCGTGGGGCGGATACTGGGGGAACCGCCCGGGGCGGTGTGCACTGCCCGGCCCCTTTAAGAAAGAGAGTAAGAACCTTCTAGGCAGAGCCCAGGTAGGGAATTATCCCAGTGCGACCCTACCTAGGAGTTGGAGCCTCCAGGAAAGCAACATTAGTAGGAGCGGTAAACGCCGTCCTCCTCCTTCTCCTCATCGTCGTAGTTGTAGCAGCGCTGCGCTATGCTATGCTATGCTATGCTATGCTATGCTGCGCAATGCTATGCTGGGCTAGGCTAGGCTATGCTATACTATGCTGCGCTATGCTATGCTGCGCTATGATATGCTATGCTATGCTATGCTATGCTATGCTTGTGCTTTGCCTTCGCTGTTGCCTTCATGTTTGCCTTTGCTTTTGCTTTTGCTTGTCACCCAGGGAGCGCAACTGGGGGAACCGCGCGTTTGCTTTTACCTTTGCTGTTGCTTTTGTTTGGCTCCCAGGGGACTGGGGGAACCGCCCGGGGCGCGTTCCACTGCCCGGCCCCTTTAAGCTACAGAGTAAGAACCCTTCTAGGCAGAGCCTAGGTAGGGAAAAATGTAGTTGATATATCTATATATATATATATAGAAAAAGATGTTAAATTACCCCAGTGCGACCCTACCTAGGAGTTGGAGCCACTAGGAAAGCAGCATTAGTAGTAACAGTAAAGCTAAGCTAAAGCTAAGCTGCAGCTAAGCTACAGCTAAGCTAAAGCTAAGCTAACGCTAAGCTAAAGCTAAGCCAAAGCTGAGCTAAAGCTAAGCTAAAGCTATGCTAAAGCTAAGCTAACGCTAAGCTAAAGCTAAGCTAAGTATAAGCTACAGCTAAGCTAAATATAAGCTTAAACTAAGCTAAAGCTAAGCTAAAGCTAAGCTAACGCTAAGCTGAAGCTAAGCTAAAGCTAAGCCAACGCTAAACTAAAGCTAAGCTAAAGCTAAGCTAAGCTGAAGCTAAGCTAAAGCTAAGCTAAAGTTAAAGCTAAGCTAAAGCTAAACTAAAGCTAAGCTAAAGTTAAGCTAAAGCCAAGCTAAAGCTAAGCTAAAGCTAAGCTAAAGCTAAGCTAAAGCTAAGTTAAAGCTAAGCTAAAGCTAAAGCTAAAGCTAAAGCTAAAAGCTAAAGCTAAAAGCTAAAGCTAAAGCTCCCAGGGGACTGGGGGAACCGCGGGGCGGGGACTGGGGGAACCGCCCGGGGCGTGTTACACTGCCCGGCCCCTTTAAGCTAGAGAGTAAGAACCCTTCTAGGCAGAGCCTAGGTAGGGAAAAATGTCTGGGGACGGTGTTTTATGTATGTTTGAGCATTGTTTGATTGTTTGTTGGCTATTTTTGTTTTCGTCCACGCCCGACCTAATGGAATTGAAGAAAAACGCTGGGGGGGGGTAATCAAAGGCGAAACGGACGGCCATGCACGTCTGCTGGGCGTGCCCGCCTGCCACGCTTCGGCTCGCCACGCGAATCACTCCCGAGTCCCAAGCGCCAACGTACCGAGCTGTTCCCAGCCTCCCGCCCCGCGAAACGAAACGACACGCCATCCGCTTGCAAGGCACAGCGTGTCGCCTGGGCAGCCGCCGCGACACGCTGAAGAGAAGTTCCCGGCCGAGGCAGAGGCAGCCGCCCGCGCCCTCCCCCCAAGGAGCACCTGCAGCCAGGCTTGACAGGCCCTCGCGCCCATGTGACCATGCAGTCAGCCCGCATAGTGAGAAGGATGGGCAACCTTCGCAAGGGTACCCTTGAATCCCTGCCCTTCGGCCCATCCGTGGCCGCTTTCGCTGGCAGCGCCCCGCTCGCAAAGTGTCGGCATGGCCTTCCAAGGCCCTTGCATCCTTATCGTGCATCCTTGTTATAAGGGTTGATGACTGTATATAGGCTCTCGATAGGGAAGCCGCACGCCCTCCTCCTTATATAATCCCTCCCTCCCTCCCTCCCTCCTCCGCCTCCTCCTCTCTTCATCCCTCCCTCCCTCCCTCCCTCCCTCCCTCCTCTTCTTCCTCCTCCTCCTCCTCCTCCTCCTCCTCCTCCTCCTCCTCCTCCTGCTCCGCCCAAAGGGTCCCACGCTGTTGCTCTCGAGGTCCTCCTCGCCTCGTTCGGTTGTCCTCGGACCCGGCCGGGGTCCGCCGCCGAGGCCCGGAGTGTTGGATTTGGCCAACTTCGTGCGGCCGCGCGGCGCTCGCAGGCCGTCTGTGGAGGAGGAGGAGGAGGAGGGGGAGAACGAGGAGGAGGAGGAGGAGGAGGAGGGGGAGAACGAGGAGGAGGAGGAGGAGGAGGAGGAGGAGGAGGAGGAGGAGGAGGGGGAGAACGAGGAGGAGGAGGAGGAGGAGAAAGAGGAGGAGGAGGAGGAGGAGGAGGAGGTCACGCGCTGGGCTCTGCAGGCGCGCCTACGAGCGGGCGAGGCGGCTTGGGACGGAGCTCGTTCCCCAGGGGTGCGTCCCCTCCTCCGTCCAAGGGGGGGGTCTTCTTGTGGGCCTTCTTGTGGGTATTTTGGATCTTCTTGTGGCTATCTTCTTGTGGCTATCTTCTTGTGGCTATCTCGGGTCGTATTGGAGGCGTCTTGGGGCCGTCCTGGGTCTCCTTGGGGTCATCGTGGCCGTCTTGGCAGCGTCGCGGGTCCCTCTTGGAGGCTGGCTTGGGGTCATCGTGACCGTCTTAGAGGCGGTTTGGGACGGCTCGCGCTGTCCGTGGTGCAGCTTTGGGGGGGACACCGACCCAGAGCCGTCGGCACCTCGACGGAGCAGAGGGGAGGCCGGAGGAGCCGCCCGCGGCCCGCAGGAGCTGCTGCTCCGGCGAGCGGCGGCCGCCGCCGCAGCGGAGGCCGCTCCCGGCCAGCGGTGACGCCGCCGACGCCCGCCCCGACGACGACGACGACGACGACGACGACGACGACGACGACGCCATGACGACGACGACGCCATGACGACGACGACGACGCCATGACGACCACGACCACCACGACGACGACGACGACGACGACGACGACGACGACGACGGCGACGGCGACGGCGACGACGACGACGATGGCGGCGGCGGCGGCGACCACCACCACCACGACGGCGTCGGCGGCGTCGGCGGCGGCGACGGCAGCGGCGGCGGCGACGACGGCAAAGGCGAGCGACGGCGGCGGCGAGGGCGAGCGACGGCGGCGGCGGCGAGCGGAGGCGGCTCCTCGGTGTCCAGGACGATCGGCTCGCCAGTGGGCCGTCCGTCCGTCGGGCGATGAGCTCGCCGTCCTCCGCCGGTGGTCGGCCCGTCGGCCGTCTCGTCGTCCTCCTCGAAGGAAAAACACACACACACACACAAAAAAAAAAAAAAACTATTGGGGCTCCGCGCGGATTGTTTGGATCCGCGCTGGAACCACACGGCGGCGCCTCCAGCGCCGCCCCTGCTGACGCGCTCCGCGCGCCAGGGAGAGGGGTCCAGCGCAGATCCAAGAAATCCGCGCGGCGTGCCGAAAGTTTGTGCTCGTGCCGCTTCTTTTTCTTCTTCTTCTTCTTCTTCTTCTTCTTCTTCTTCTTCTTCTTCTTCTTCTTCTTCTTATTCTTATTCTTCTTCTTCTTCTTCTTCTTCTTCTTCGTCCTCCGTCGGTCGTCCGTCGCTTCCCTGAGATCCCGGCGCGGAGATTCGTTTCACGACGGGCGTTTTCGCCCGGTCTCGGGCCCCGAGGCCATCGCAGATCGCTCCGGCTCGAAGAGTACCGCAGGAGGACGTGCAGGGCTCTGGTCGTGATGTCTCACGGTGTTGCCACGTTTTTTGCAACGTCGGATCTCAGGGCTGGCGGGAGCCCAGACCTCCTGGCGTAGTGATGGTGGAGGGCTTACGGCCGGTGCCGACCCACATGTACGACGACGACGACGACGACCACCACGACGACGACCACGACGACGACAACGACGAACTAACGACCCTGCCGCAGGCTCGGGACATGGAGGGAGGAGGAGGAGGAGGCGGAGGAGGAGGAGGAGGAGGAGAAGAAGGAGGCGGAGGCCGGCACATTGACTTGTTCAATCCCCGCTTTCCTCCTGGATTTCGGCCTCTGGGGGCCTCTTCTGGGCCCCTTTGGATATCAAAAGTGGATCCGGGGCGACAAGCTGCTCCCGGTGTTGGGGTCGGGGCTGGCAGGTCCACGGACTGAGAAGAACACATCGCCAGGTGCATGGGAGCGGTGCCTGGACCTTGGGTTAAGTCGGGCATGTCCCTCTACGGGAGGAAGATTCCAGAGATAGTAAAAACAAAAATATGGGGCAATGTTTTCTATTATTCTTGGCTATTGTTCCATATGTTCTGCCATGTGTTAGTTGTCATCCACAATCCGCCTGTAGGAGGACAGGCCCGACCCAAACCTTCGGTTTTCCCAAGACTGTTTTGGAGCAGTCCTGGGGGCCAGGGCAGGCCCCGGCCCGCAACCGGCAGGAGACCTCCTGGGCCCCTCGCCTCCCGAGCCCTTTCTCAAGCAGTGGCGAAGCGGCCTGGCTCGCCTGTAGGCCCACCAGAGACTGTTCTAAGAAACTGCTGTGGTATGCACGAAATGTTCTTAGAACGTTTCTTGCTGGGACTGTCTTGTTTCAACACATCGGAATTGTATGCTAAGACCGTGGTTTTTGTTATTAGAAAATGTATGGGTTCTAAGAAAATTCAGTGGTAGGCCTACAGGAATGCCGGGACGGTCGGTGTTTGCTTGAGTTTCCTGGCCTGCTGAGACGATCGGCTCGTCGTTGGTCAGCATCCGTAGGTCGCCGGTCATTCGTCGATCGATTGCCGTCGGTCGGTCTTCGGTCCCCGTCCGTCGTTCGTCCGCCATCCGTCTTCCATCCGTGGTCGTCGTCGGTGTCCTCTTCAATGTGGTTATTGTTACTCACATTCCCCTATTCATCACATTAAAATACCAGTATGAACCATAAGAATAGTAACGATGATGACGGCGACAAAAACAATACCAATGATGATACATATACCGATTGAGAAAAGCAAGAATGATACAAAGATTACTCGTCGTCGTCTCCATCGTCCGACGGTTTACATTGTAGAACTCCCCCTCCGACCTGTCGTCTTGCCAGGGGACTGAAGAGACGGAAGGAAAGGGAGTTGGGCGACGAGGGGGGAGAGAGGAGGAGGAGGAGGAGGAGGAGGAGGAGGAGCAGGAGGAGCAGGAGGAGGAGGATGAGGGGGAGGAAGAGGAGGAGCACGAGCAGGAGCAGGAGCAGGGAAACGACGGCGATAAGGAGCAGGAGTAGCAGCAGGCGGGAGAGGAGGACAAGTGACGAAGAGGAAGAGCAGCAGCAGCAGCAGCGGCAGCAGCAGCAGGAGCATAATCAGCAAGGCGAGGAGAATGATAGCGAAAGGTAGGGGAGGGAGGAGGAACGGAGGAGAAGGGAGGGCGGGAGACGAGGAGGAGGAGGGGAGGAGGAGGAGGAGGAGGAGGAGGAGGAGGAGGAGGGGGGAAGAGAGAAGGAGAAAGGAGGGAGGGGAGGGGGCAGGAGGGAGACGAAAGAACGGAGGATTCGAGAGGAGGGACACTAGGGGGCCACTACGGGGAAAGCAAGCAGGAGAATGTGCAGCGGCAGTGACAGTAACCCCGAGGCCGTCTTCCTCCTCCTCCCCTTCCTCCTCCTCCTCCTCCTCCTCCTCCTCCTCCTCCTCCTCCTCTCCTCCTCCTCCTCCTATCCTCCTCCTCCTCCATCATCATCATCTCATCATCATCATCATCATCATCATCATCATCATCATCATCATCATCATCATCATCATCATCATCATCATCATCATCCCTTCACGCCCTATCCCTTTCCGCTCTCTCTCTCCCTCCCTCCTCCGCCCTCCTCCTCGCCCCTTCTCCGCCCTTCCTCTTCACGACGACGACGACGATGACGACGAGGAGGGCACGACGAGGACGAGCCCTTTGCTGGCTCCCGCCGCTGCGGCAATGTCGGGCTCGAACTCTGCCGGCGGGCATCGGGGGGGGAGGGGGTGTAGCAGAAGGAGGAGAAGGACGAGGAAGACGAGGAGGAGATGGAGGGAAGGAAGTGGAGGGGAGGGGGAGAAAATGGAAGGAATGAGGAGGAGGACGAGGAGGAGGAGGAGGAGGATTAGGAGGAGGAGGAGGAGGAGGAGGAGGAGCAGGAGGAGGAGGAGGAGAGGGGACAGGCAAGCGGGAAGAGAGAAGCAACAGGAGGTATGAAGGGAAAGAGGGATGAGGACGACGACGAGGAGGAGGAAGAGGAGAAGGAGGAGGAGGAGGAGGAAAAGACGAAGACGGAGGAGGAGGAGGAAGAGGAGGACGAGGGAGGAGGAAGAGTGAAGGATGAGGAGGAGGAGGAGGACGAGGACGAGGACAAGGACGAGAAGGGAAGAGGGTTGACAGGGGGGTTGCATGGATGTGCTTGGAGGTTGACCACATCGTCGAGGCTGCCCGGAAGGAGTGGCGGGACCTCGCACAGGAGCCCAGCCGCGCCCTTCTTCGCGCCTTCGGCCCCACGGCGGCGCCTCCTGGGACCGCCTACGCATGCGAGCCTCGACCGATGCCGCTTGAGGGTCTTACATGTTGGAGCTGTCTGGGGGTCTGAGGTGGCCCAGCACAGGTTCTGGTCAGCTGAACGGGTGGGCAGGTTCGAGGTTCTGGGTGAGGATGTTGTCGGGCCCCGAGACCGTCAAGAATGGGTCCGGGATGACAAATTGCGCCATATGGACCCACATGGACCCTTGGAGGAATCCAGAAACCGATTTTTGAACATATGTGGCCTCATCTCCCTCCTGACCACCTTTCTGGGGTCCCAACCAGTTCAGACCCCTCGGCAGCCTCCAATCTTATGTGAGGCGTTCTAGGCAAGGCCTCCCCATTCGAGGAATCGAGAAGTTGATACAATTTGACATCTCTTCCTCAGCGGAGGGCGGCGGAAGCTGGCGGAAGTATCACGAAGCCGGCTCCACTGTCGGAAGTTGGTGGAAGTATTAGATGCGCCCCAAAAATTCGGCAACATGTTTGGACTCAGGGTTTCCACAACCCCGAGTAAGAAATCCGCCTGCAAGCAGGTGCCCTGGTGAAGCTTCTCCAGCCTGTCCCTCCGCCTGTTCTGGCCCACCACGCTTTGGAGCGACGCGCTATCCACGCCGCGGTCCTCGAGCGTGAACGTCCCGAGCATTCCCGAGCCTCTCGCCCCGCGGAGCGGAGCGGCACGCTATCCGCTCGCAGGGCACGGTGTGTCCCCGGGGCCGCCGCCGCGGCACGCTGAGCAGAAGATCCCGACCGCAAGGTACCCCGAGCAGGAGGCCCGCCGGCCAGCAGGTGCCCCGCTGAGGCTTCTGGTCCCCCGATGGGCCTCGGGGCCCCACGGCAGCCCTCCCGCCTCGTCCCCCTCCTGCCGTCCTCGGCCCCCCCCTGTGCCCCCTCCCCCGGCCCTCCTCCCTGGGGGGGGCTTCCTCGGCCTCTCTTTTCAGTCGGGCACGTCCCTCTACAGGACGAAGATTCCCAAACAGTCGAAAAATCGTCTGGGGGCCCTTTTTGGAATAATCGGTTGGGTACGTTTGAGCATGGTTTGAAGCTTTTTTATTAGTCGTGCAAACTCCGCCTGCAGGGGGACATGCCCGACCTGAGCCTCTCTGTGTTTTGGGGGGGGGTCCTCTCCTGCCCTCCTCACGCCTTTCGGCACGAACGAAATGGGTACGGAAAGAATGGGTACAATGCCCAACAGCAGTTCCTGCTCCTTCAGAACCGGACTCGCTGTCCGCGCCGCCGCGGCCCGTGTCCGTCCGAGACGGAAGGCCGCCTGCCCAACAGCGGCCGCACATTTGTTGTTGTTGGGCATTGTGCCCCTTTGTTCCCTACCCATTCCGGGCGTCCAACGCCTCCCTCCTTCGTGCTCCGCCTCGGACCCTCGCCTTGCGGCCTGCGTCTGCCCCCCCCCCCCCCGCGCCGCCGCGCCGCCGGGCGCCCGCCCTCCCCCTCGCAGGCCGCCCTCGCGACTCCCGGAGCGGGCGCTCCGGGAGCCGCCCGGCGCCTTCAGGCAGCCCGCACAGGAAGGATGCGCGAGGGGGATGCAGGGGCCTTGGACGCCCATGTCGGAGCTCTTCAAGCGGGCCGCGACCAGTGGAAGCGGCCAAGGGTGGGCCGAGAAGGCAAGGCTGCAAGGGTAATTACCCTTGGGAAGGCTGCCCATCCTTACTATGCGGGCTGACTGTGGTAGGATCACCGCCCCGGGGGCGACCGGGGGGGGCGGGCGGGCAGCAGTCGATGGAGCATCCTGCCTTCAGGAAGCAGGGCCCTGGAGGAGCAGGAAAGAAGAGGGGGAGGAGGAGAAGGAGGAGGAGGAGGAGGAGGAGGAAATGGAGGAAATGGAGGAAATGGTGGGCATGGAGGAGGAGGAGGAGGAGGAGGAGGAGGAGGAGGAGGAGGAGGAGGAGGGAGGAGGAGGAGGGAGGAGGATGAGGAGGGAGGAGGAGCAGGAGGAGGGAGGAGGAGGAGGAGGAGGAGGAGGAGGAGGCTGGAGGAGGAGGAGGCTGGAGGAGGAGGAGGCAAGACAAGACAAGACAAGACATCGCAATGGGGCTTCCCATCGGCCGAAGCTCGAACGGATTATGAGCCCGGCGCGCTGCGCTGCAGCTCGTGACATCAGCTGTTCTCGCGAACGTCAGGAGGGAAAAAAACACAGACACAATTAATCGTCGGTTCCCCCGAAAATATGGGAAAATATGGGAAGTGGGGGGGAGGACAGAAACCGAGAAAGTATAGGAAAATATGCGGAATCTGGTTATCTGTGTCTATTTATTCGCGTGTCCTAGTTTCCCTTCAGATCGGCCTGTCGGGAGCCACCCGCGCAGCCCCTACCAGGCGGCCCCCCGTCACGGCTCGCAGCCAGGGGGGTGCCCAGCTGAGGGGACCAAAATTGCATGCTGCACCTCTGAGGAGGGGACAGGCACAATTCATCGTCGATCCCCCAGAAAATCTGAGAAAGTGTGGGGAGTCCTGGGAGTTATGTCTATTTGTTTGTGTGTCCATAATTCGGCCCTTTTCACCTCCTCGGGGAGAGGAGGGGCGGGAGGGGACGGTTGTCCGAGGGGCGCGCTCGCATCATGACCCCTTCCCGTCCCCCTCGCCACGACCCTCACGGCGGCCACGACCCCTACCCCTCCCCTCCATGGCGGCCAGCAGGCGCCGCCTTCGGCAAACTCAGCACAGGCACCTTCGGGAGCAGAGGGCGGGCGTACGTCGGGACAGAAGCCGCGCTCCGCTGCAAAGCATCCCTGGGCACGGACCCCCTCTGTATGAATTCACGGAGCCTGGGCGAGTCCTCGAGTCAAAAGTTCGCGCGATGCTGAAACGAGCGGAGGGCGACAGTCCCAGGTTCATTTACAGGCCCTAGAGCAGGCTGGCCACTATGCTCCAGCGCGCGCATTGCGTCCGATTCGAACCGATCGTCGAGGGTCGCAGGAGGTCCGAACTGGGGGCCGAAAGGGGGGCGAACGAGGGGCCAGAGGTCACGGTCGAAGAGGTCGGAAGAAGAGCCGTGAGGAGGCGCAGTCAGGTTCACACTCTCACTCACTTGACCTGAGAGCCGATGCAGCGCTCGGTCGGGCCCCTCGGCGCTGTGCCTGGGATCTGCTCGCAGTGCTCGATTTTCACCAGGCACTCAATGAAGATCGGCCACGATGTTCTCGCTGCCTCGAGATCCTGCACATCCAACGAGATCGAGAGCACTCCGCGCCTGTCCATGTCCGTGTCCTCGCCTTCCTTGGGTTGCTTGGCCTTCTTGTAGCGGCACTGCAACACGAAGAGCCACAACTGTTGTGGCGTCTGAGTGCGAACGAAATTATCCCAGACCTGCATCATGACCTTGTTCCCGACCTCGTACGGCGATGCTCCGCCTGGGGCCAGTAGTCCAATGGCACGCTGGACGACGACCACGAAGAAAGCCACGTTAGGGGCGCCGTGAGCCTTCAGTCGATGTTATCTCTGCTTTCTGGCGCTCGTTTATGGCTTTTCACTTGCCGTCGTACTGCTTCTTGGCCGCCACGCATGCTGCTCCCAATGACCCCGCAGCCTCGTCCACCAAAAAAGGCCCGATGGACAACAGCCTCGAGCATCGCCACGCGCGCCTCCAGGTTCAAGGTATGCTTCGCCACGCTGCTGACCATGGAGTCCTGGCCGCTGCCCTCCTTGCCTTTCGTGCTGCTCGCCGCCAATCCTGGGGCACCTGCATCCGCTCTGGCATCTCTGGCGCGCCGCTGCCGCTGCCTGTGAGCCCTGTGCCGCCGCCGCTGGGCGGTGGGCCTCCCCACCGGCCTCTTGACGTGCCGCCCTGCCGCCGCGGCGATCTCCTCTGTCGAGTCCGTTGCCGAGGAGGCGAGGTTGGCCAAGGCAGGCGAGCGAGGCAGAACAGCGGGGTCGTCTTCGCCGACATCGGCGCGTGATGCTTCCCGCGTCAGGTCGCGCGTGAGCGCCCTCGTTTCCAGTGCAGCGTGCAGCGCCTTGCGGCCCGCGCAAGCCACCGCGTAAGGTCGCTGTGCCGTCTCGCGCAAGACCAGTTTTTGATCGTCGCTCAGGTGTTGAGCAAGATGGATACGAGGGTCGGAGCAGTGGGCTCCCTCGCAGTCGCACGGAGGGCACCCGCAGGAGGCTACCTCGATACAAAGTCCGCGATCGAGGAGGCCCCCCCCCGGGTCGCATCGCCCTCGTCGAAACACGTTCCGAAGATGTCGGCTCGCTGTGACTTGAGTGGCGAAGACCTTCTGACATATTATGCGTGCGTTAGAGGGCGTAAGTGTGTGCGCCATTTTGTGTACATGGTGTCAGTGTCGTAGATGTGCTGTGAGTGCGCCTTGTGTGCTGAAAGTCTCCCAATACTCCACCCCGTCCTTCATGTGCGTGGAAGTGTACTGCTCCTCCTCGATTCCCTCCTCCATCATTCCGCTCCCCTCGTCCTCGAACGTATCTCCATGAAGCCCAGGAGGTGCGATGGCGACCGAGAAGAAGGATGCCCTAGACTCCCCGAAGTCTACATCCATGAACTCTCTGGCCTTAACCTCATCGGTGTACAAGTGCCACCAGGACTCAGCCAAATCCACGAGGAGGTCCGCATGGTCCAGGCAAGCAGCAGCAGCAGCAGCAGCACGAAGGTCTGCTCTCATCTGAAGAGCCCAGGGAGAGGCGAACTTCGTCAAGCCGAACTCGAGCTCGCACGGGTCGAAATCGTCGGGCTCGAAATCCAGGAGAGAAAAAATGATTGTCCAGGTCTGTTTGTTGGCCACCGGGTGATTCGCCTAAGATTGGTACCAGGATAGCCTTTGGGTCCTGAGTTCCACGCTACACGGGGCAATTTTCCAGAACTCCAGGACTGCTGTATTGGGGAGTCTTTCTTGGCGAGCCGAGCCCTGCCAGGAAGCTCCACCGCGCATGGTGCTCCGACCCAATTTCGCAAGGTGCGCTTCCATCGTCCTGTATTGATGGTCGCTCAGACAGAAACACCCCATGGCGGACAACATTGTGTCCTGAGCCAGGGAGAGGAACAAAGCTCGCTTACAGCGCCTCGGAATACGCAGGGGCCATTCTCCGCCAAGACCATGTAATGCAGAGCAAGTCGCTGCAATCCGTCTGCCCAGCCCATGAGATGTGGTCTGTGTCGGTGATACCACAGGCACAAGGTACCGAGCAACGTTAATCACCTTCCCGTCCACCACTCAAGGACAGGCGAGCCATTATTGCAAGCAGTAGATACATCACCACAAATAGAAGACTCGTGACCTGCTCCTCTCTCATCGGCGTCCGCCAAAGTCTCCGTCGCGTCCTTCATTGTGGATCCCACCCAGGATGGCATGGCACCGTACGGTGAAGGTTATCAGTATACGAGCAGTGCGACAGGTCGACCTCGTCATCATCAGGGAGAGCCCCGCGAAGTAGTGAGGTCCCAGGTTGACTTGCTTCCATCGCTGCAGCCCAGTACCGTGTAGATTTGACGGAGGCCCCCAGGAAGGCGGAGACACGAAGGGGTCGTCCATCAGGCCGCCGACGCGAGGCTGCATGAAGAAGGTGCCCTCGTCGCTGGACATCTCGATGACGCCGTCCCTGTAACGGGCCTTGCAGAGCTCCCAGTCATCATGCTGCGCGTTGTCCTCCACCACCGAATCGAAGGAGGGCCAGGCCATGCTGCCGAAGGCGTTGGAGAGGTCCTTCATGGTGTTGGCGAAGCTGACCTTTGACTGCCGTAATCCCCATGACAAACACTGTGTCACCAGAATAGCTCCTTCGCGTTGCGTGTGTCGTCCAAATCCGTAGGCCTGCGGTGGGACATGTATCTGGAGCCGCTTGGCGAAGAACCCCTGGCTGATCGCTAGTAAAGAATGAATGACCTTCGTGCCCAGCACGCCCGCCTTGGCATTCCCCTTGAGGAGTCCGTGCCCCATGCTACGTGACCAGTATAGCGGTGCCATAGTGTTGCGTCTAGTAGTGGCCAGGCCCAGAAGCGCCAATTCCTTGAAGATGTCCAGGTTTACCGCCGGCTGCTCAAAGCCCAATCCGAGTCGTCCAGGCTCGGTCTTCATGTCCGCAGAGAAGCACTGGTCCCAAAGTTCTGCAGGTGTAGTGTCTCGGGGTACTGCGCGCCTCTTCGAGGTCTTCCGAAAGTAGGGGATCAGCTCCGCGTAGTCCACAGCAGCCTTGAACGTGCGCTCGCTCTCCCCCAAAGCAGCCAAATCGGGTGGTTGTACATTTTCCCGCTGTCGTCGCCATGTCTCCCAGTCAATCTCCTCCACCTTCACGCCGCCATCGGCGCCGTCGCGAGTCGCGATGGGCAAGGCGGCCCGATCTCGTTATAGTTCTGCACGTACTTCCAGTAGACGACGTCGTTCGTCGTTCGGCGCAGTCAAGTGTCGGGCTCACACCGTACAAAGAATATTCTCGAAGGTTTCCCAGTAGGCGTCAGGGGCAGTGCAAAGAGCCAGGTCTCGAAGTTCCGCCTCGACGTCCCTTAGTTGTTGGGCCACGTCCGCCAAGAAGTCTGCATTGCCCTCGCCGTAGACACGCTAACGGCGATGTTGGTTTCAGTATTGTAGGTGCGAGTGGTTCGTGGCCAACCTAATGATAGGAAAGTGTTTTTCGTGTTTTCCTTCATTTCGCCGTGGCGCGTTCGCTCGATACATTCGCTTTCGTTCGATACATTCGCTCCTCCTCCTCCTCCTCCTCCTCCTCCTCCTCCTCCTCCTCCTGCTTTTCCTCCTACTCCGCGGACTGGCTGCAGTACGTCTCCAATGTCGTGTACCACCCCTTGGGCAGGAACCAAGGGTCGATCATGCTCCCCACCGCTGGTGTAGTAGGCGAGTAATACGTGTAGGCGTGCTGGCTGAAGGAGCTGGCCGAAATCATTGGAGCTGTCGAATATGTTCTCCAGCGCCATGTCGCCGTCGTTCGCAAGTGCGCGTATCGCCCAGTGCGGCACACGGAGGCTCTGTCCACTTCCCTTGCGTGAGCTTAGCGCTGATCCCGTCGTTAACGCCGGAGTAGAAGAGCGGTAGAGTCGTGCACGGTAGTTGTGATAAGTTTCTCCTCCACCGTTTAGTAAGTTTCTTGACCGTCTCGTGGTAGATGCCGTTCTCGCGGTGGGAGCGCGGCTGGGGCTGGTAGTAGAGCACGCCGTAGGTTACGTTGATGGAGCCCTTCTGCACACTGATCGCAAGTCCACGGCCAGCCAGCCTCTAAGGTGGTGTCCACTTCTGTCTAATGTGTCTGTCAGTGTAGCCGTTGCGTAGAATGACCGCGCAGCCCGTGGCCTAGGTGGTGAGCTGACCTGGTTGTGGCACCGCTTCCAATATCATACGGCCTCCCAGTCGAGTGCGCAGGACCCCGTCTCCCCGTCGACAAACCGCCTGCGCACCGCAGAGAGGAACCGCGTCGTGGGTCTTGGTGTGGTGTAAGGTCTTCTGCAATCTGAATCCACTCGCCCACATCGGATTACATCACCGTGACGACAGTTTCTTTCAATCCGCCTTCGCCAATAGCGCATCAGCGCGGAGTAGCTCGGAGTAGAACTACTCCGCGCGCGGGCGCATGCCGCTCGATAATTCACAGCGTTTGGCGCGGAGCCATTTTCGATCTGGTTTGGCGGTAACAGAGTTATAAGCATTAGGCGGATCGGAAATTACTCCGCCGAATGACGCAATCATCATGTAATGTTAGGATTTGCTTAGACGGATCGGAGAGATCAGCATCATGGCAGATTGAAGAAACTTGTGTCGCGTATCACTTGCAATGCCGAGATGAAAGATGGCGCCATCCGCTGGTGCCAGAGATTGCACAGCGAACACCGCAAAAGGCAACGTGTCTGTGCGGGAGCGTCCGCGCGGTGAACCTCAAGCACCAGTTCGTCACGCGTGTTTGAGGCCGGAGGAGGAGGAGGAGGAGGAGGAGCAGAACGACGACGACGACGACGACGACGACGCAACCGATCCCCGCAGGAGGTCCGCGACTTGTCCGGCATGCTCTCCGCCAGCGTCGCCGCGCCGCGGCGCGCCAGCGAGGCGCCCGCCGCGATGGGTTGCGGGCCGCCGGGGAGCCCGAAGGACGGTAGGGGAGGGGCTCCTCTTGCTTCTCGTGCTCCTCTTGCTTGTCTTCCTCCTCCTCCTCCTCCTCCTCCTCCTCTCCTCCTCCTCCTCCCCTCCTTCCTATCCTCTCTGCTGCTCATCCTTCTCCTCCTCCTCCTCCTCCTCCTCCTCCTCCTCCCTCCTCCTCCTCCTCTTCACCCTCCTCCCCTCATCATCGCCATCTCATCATATCTTCCTCCTACTCCTCCTCCTCCTCCTCGGCCCTCCTCCTCCCTCCTCCTCTTCCTCCTCCTCCTCCTCCTCCTCCTCCTCCTCCTCCTCCTCCTGCTCCTCCTCATCCTGTTCCTCCTCCTCCGCCTCCTCTTCCTCCACCTCCTCCTCCGCCGCTGCCGCCTCCGCTTCCGCCTCTGCCTCCGTCTCCGCCTCCGCCTCCTCCTCCTCGAGCATGGAGTCCCGAGAGTGGTCAGCCGAGCACCCTCCTTCTCCCCGAGCTTGCCCATTTCTCATCTCTCCCGTCGCTCGCGCGTCAGGGAGTCCCGGGGGTGGTCGACCGAGTACCGTCGCCGTCCCCGCCGTTGCCGCCCCGTCTCTCTTTTCTTCTTAGTTGCATGTGTGCACGGTCCGGCTGGCGCCACATGGCCAGTGGATTGAGACTGTGGGTGCGTGCTTGTGGGGAGAAAAAAACTTATCCTAGAGCTGGTTCCTCTTCCTCTTTCTTCGAGCTTCGGGCTGCGGACAGCGTCGAGCGA